TCAGGTCCCTGCCAGACCGCAGCTCCGTATGTCTCCTTTTTTTGGTATTTTCACGCAAATTCTTCTGCTAGTTGGGGTTTAGTCTACTTCTGAATCCTTCTCTTCAAGGCTCAGGGGTCCAAGATGAACTTCTGTGTCTGTGTCAATTGGTTTCCCTTTTCTTTGTTGAAGAGGGTCTGTGCAGTCCTTCTATCTAGTCCGCCATCTTCCCAGCTCAGGGGTTGCTATTTAAAAACTAACTTCAAGAAAGTAAAGCACCTCCTTTCCTTTACCTTTCCTTATTTTCTGTGAAATTGTACAAAAAATGTTTCAAACCATCAACATTTCATTTGATAAGCAGGTAGCATTGTCCATGTGGAAGTTCCTATCTATTGGTAAACTTATCCAAACTTTGCACTACTAAGTGACTACAAAGAAGTTGTACACAAAATGTATTCAGTAACTTAATGCGTACTTAATATATTCTGAAAAAGTGATTTTAGGGTTGTTATGAGACAGAATCAGCTTGAGGGCATACAACAAAAACAGCATGGAACCCCCAGCATGGAACCCAGGGTTACTAAATGATTTTAAATTTCCCTTTTACTTCTGAAATTTTAAATACTTAGCATCCTTTTCAAATATATGTGTGTAGTTTATATTTTTTCAATAAATAGTATTAATTTTGTCACTACTTTAGAAAAATGGGCTTCTATAATGACAAAAGTATGTTTTAGAAGGTTAGAGTCTTTATCATCTGGATTGGACAGTATTGAGAATTATAAACAGAGATTTTTTACCTGGTAAGCACAAATTCTAAAACTGTTCTGATTTTTACCCCAAAAATCATGCAGGTTTTTTTTTTAATTTGTTTTTTGTTGCTTTGATTCACAAATTTATGCCCAATAATATTGATGAAAAGTATAGATACCCACAGCTATCTGGGAAAAATTTAAAAAACAAAGTTATATATTTATTCCCAGTAGTTTGATTATTAGAAGACAGAATAAAAATTTTATAATCTTGTATTTATCCTGAGCCCAAGGAAGAATTTACCTTTGGTTTCAACTTCACTTTCTTTTCATATGCCTTAACTCAACAAATACTCTTCATAAAAAAGTGGATATAATTATTTTAAGACTTTCAGATTGTTCTGATTATCTATATTTTGCTCAAATCTTTCTCCTGTTAATATTTGGAACCTATACATGTGTGAAGAGTATTTATTCTTCATTTAAAACATATTGTGCTTATCAATGTCAGTTTCAGTATGGATATAAATGTATAAGCCTGATGTCAGAACCTGTGTTGAATTTCTAGCTTCTGGTAAACACCTTTATTTGCAAATAATTTTCAGAGATAAGAGTGCTCTAAATGGAAGTGTTCTTCTAATCAAGAAAGAATATTGACCTGTACTTGAAATAGTTTAAGGCTGGCATATTATAACCTAGTTTTTTTTTTTTTTTTTTTATTACTATCAAATCCTATAGGGTGATTAATTTTCTTGACTTCATCTTCCCTTGTGTTATAAGGTTGTTGACTATCAACATTAATTACTTGTTTTCTGTAGCTTCATAGATATTCTTGAGGCCATTTAACTTTATTTGGAAACATAAAAGTTAGTTTTGGACCTCCTACGTTCTTTGTCTTGATCAGTCAGGATAATGTGTTTCATAGGTCTCTTTACTATAACTATGTCCGAAGGAAGGTTGGGCAATCGCTTCCATAGTGATACCTCCTCGGAAACCCAAGGAAGGGTCACTATGAGTCGGATCTGACTTGACGGCAGTGAGTTTGGTTTTTTGTTTTGTTTTTTTTTTACTATAACCATTAATGGTGTTCTCTTCGGTTCATTAAACTTATTAGGTTCTCCCAATAGGAGATAAGAGATATTGTACTTTAATTTCATACATTTCTCTCTCACTTTGTCCCCCTCCTCCATACCAAATTTTGGTAATTTTTTGTGGGACTTATCTTAGAAAAAGGAGCCTTGGTGGCATGGTGATTAAGGGGTGGGCTGCTAACTGAAAGGTTGGCAGTTTGAACCCACCGTTGCTCCACAGGAGAAAAGTGTGGCAGTCTGTGTCTGTAAAGATATGTAGCCTTGGAAACTCTATGGGGCATTTCTTCTCTGTCCTAACAGGGCCACTGTAAGTCAGAATCAGCTTGATGAAAATGGATTTGGCTGGATGGCTATCTTAGAAAACATAAGGTCTTACTTAGCATAAGACACTTTCTCAGTAGAACAATCAAAGAATTCTATTGAATTACTTCAGTAGTTTTTCTCTTTTATAAATCTTAACCCAAATTTTGCTTTTGGCTATAATGCTCTTTCAATTGCTTTTAATAGGAGGTCTGGTAGCGTAGTGCTTAAGGCATTTGACTGCTAACCAGAAGGCTGGCAGTTCAAACCCATCAGCCACTCCTTGGAAGGAAGGTTGGGCAATCTACTTCCGTAATGATACTGCCTTGGAGGGGTCGCCATGAGTCGGGAACCACTCGACGGCACATAACAACAACAACATTGCTTTTAATGAGAGGAGCTCTGGTGGCGCAGTGCTGAAGGCATTTGACTGCTAACCAGAAGGTTGGTGGTTCAAACCCACCAGCTGCTGTTTGGAAGGAAGATGGGGCAGTCTACTTCTTTAAAGATTTACTGCCTTGGAAACCCAATAGGAGTCACTATGAATTGTAATCGACTCCATGGCATTGGGTTTTTTGTTTTGCTTTAAACTTTCAAACCAAAGTCTTATAATAGTCAAGTTAATACAAAGGCAAATCTTTGTTTATTTAAATACAGTTTTCATACTTTTATTTGTGTGCTACCTTTTTGGATACAGTCAGCCCTCTATATCACAGGTTCCGTATCTGTGGATTTAATCAACCGCAAATCGAAAATACTCAAAAAGCAATTAAGTGGTCGGAGCAATCCCTCAAAGGCTCAGAGGGAGCATAAAATGCTTTTTACGTACCATTTATATTGTTTTAGGTATTGTAAGTAATTTAGAGATGATTTGAATTATACGGAAGGATACATAATAGGTTATATGCAAATACTGTGCTGTTTTATATAAGGGACTTGAGCATCTGCAGAGTTTGATATCCATGAGGAGTCCTAGAACCAGTCCCCCTGGACAGCAGGGAAGGACTATACTATCAATCTAACAATGCATCATATTTTACTAGTCAATGGTAGTTGCAAAAACGGCAAGGAGGCCACATGTTCTGACCTCCTCTAACCTTACAAGAGGAAGACAGGATTACCAGCAGTAACCCAAGGCCTATTCCTACAAGGTCAGACATGCTGCCTCCCTCCAGCCCTTTCAGCAACCGTTCCTCCCAAAGCACCCACCACCTCTCTCCTGGGTTCGATAATTCGCT